ATTGGTAAAGCATTGTGCAAGAAGGTATTCGGTGAGGAGAATGATAATTACGAATTGTGGCAGGTGGATATGCATTCTCAAGTAAGTTCTGAAATCGCATAAAATTTGAATACAAAAAATAACAAACATTCCTCTATCATATCTTAGGATGTTATCAAAACAATTGGTATTGTACACAGTGATTATGATGGCCCCTTGGATCCCTCATCCACCATATTAGTCGGTTCCAACGAGGACAGTTGTCACACGGTACGTTTAAATTTCTCCAAAACCAAATCGGTGGGTATTTTCCCCGGTCAAGTTATCATGGTATCGGGTATGAATCCCAAAGGTGATGTCTTTATGGTTGAGGAAGTAATAACCGAACAAAATCTGCAACCACCAAAACCCCCACAAATTGCTGACCGTTTAAGTTTTGTCATTGCCGCTGGTCCCTTCACCAATGATGATGACTTGGTATATGATCCATTACAAGATTTGGTTATGTATTTAAAAGAGAATCGTCCAAATGTGTTGATACTTTGCGGTCCATTTATGGAAGCCGATCATAAAGTCATTAGTGATAATGTAACCCTGGCCGAAACCTTTGAGGCATTCTTTGAAAAAATGATAACCGGTATTGTTGAGGCAATTGGTCAGGAGACAACCATACTGGTGGTTGCATCACATCGTGATGCACATGCTGATTGTGTCTACCCAACAATGGCCATACAAATGAAAAAGACCTTTCCAAATGTCCATATGTTACCCGATCCTTCGATGGTGGATTTAAATGGTCTGGTTATTGGTGTGACTTCTACGGATATTGTAGATCATATTTTGACAGAGGAATTGGCGGTGTAAGTAGGAAAAAGTTTGTTTTATTTAAAAATATATATTAAAATATTTTTTTCTATTTTACAGAAATGCTGGCGATAAAGTCAAACGTGTCGTCAACTATTTGCTACATCAGAAATCGTTCTACCCCTTGAATCACCCGAAAGAAGATCAAATGTGTTTGGATAGCGATTTGGCCAATAAATATGCACGAATCGATAAAATTCCAAATATCCTAATCTTGCCCAGTACTCAAAAGTGTTTCCTAAGGGTAAGTTACAAAAAATGAAAACTAGTTTATATTCTCAGCTTGTGTATATGGAGTATATATCATTTATCCGGACATATTAGCATACATATGTTATTTAGACGATTTCGGCGTTGCCAGATGCAAATTTTGTTCTACATTTTGGCGGACTACTTTCTATTTTATTCTGGGCGCCTTGTATTTTTGTGAAACTTATCCAAAAAATGTCCGAAACCAGTTAAGCGAAAAATTGTGAGGTCATCACATAAATAGATGTCGAAAGCGTAGGGGCATGTATTCGTTTGCGAATGTGGGGAGTATTTAAAACCCAATACCGACCATTATTAGCACCTTTAGAACCATTTAGTACCTACGTTGTCTTATAGTAAGTTTGTCCAAAACTACCTCCATATTTCAACTCTATTCACATGACCGCAAAAGAAATCTAGCTCTAAATAAAATTTGGTGTCATTTTTTACACTTTGTACACTTGTAAAATTTCCAAATTTCAAATATAGCTTCACCCAAATCCAAATTAAGTACCAGTTAGTAAACATTAATATAAATTGCCAAAACTACCTACTTTAATAATCATAAATACGAATTCCCAACACTTCCCACATACCCCAATCTTAATTCCAAATTTCAAGATTCTATCGGTTCACTTAAATCCAATTTGTTTTAAATTTAGTTCCATTTAATACATATATGTACAAAATTCAGGACTCCAGCCCTATCGGTTAGCTTTAATCCAAAATGTACCAAATTTAGTGCCATTTAGTACACATTAGTAGACATTTCCAAAACCTCCTACATACTCCATTCCAAAATCCCAACAGTGATCCTAGCTTCACATGTCAAGATTCCTGCTCTATAGGTATATCTAAATCCACATTTTGTACACATTAGTACAAATCTCCCAAACTGTATACATAGCTCAATCCTACATCCTAACAGTAACCCTAACTCAAAATTTCGGGATTCCAGCTGTATTGGTTCACACAAAATTTAATTTGTACCGAATTTGGTACACATTAGTACGAATTTCCAAAACTTTCAACAAAGCCCAATCCTTCACCCCAACAGTGATTCTAAAATCAAATTTCAAGATTCCAGCTCTATCGGTTCATCCAAATCCAAATTTGGTACCATTTAGTACACATTAGTACGAATTTCCAATACTTTCTCCATAGCCCCATTGTACACCCCAATGACGCCAACTCCAAATTTCAGGATCCCTGCTCTATCAGTTCACCAAAATTCATATTGTACCAAATCTAGTACAATATAGTACTCATACATATGAATTTCCAAAACTCCATCCATATCCCAATACTACAATCTAACAGCAACGTTATTTCCAAATTTCAAGGTTTTCAGCTCTATTGGTTCACCTAAAATTTTAATTGTACCAAATTTAGTACACATTAATATGAATTTCCAAAACATTCAAAGCCCACCACCGGTTCACCCAAATCCGCATTTGGTACCATTTAGTCAAATTCCCAAAACTTCATACATCGGTTCACCCAAAATTAAAGTTGTACAAAATTTAGTTCACATTAGTAGGAATTTTCAAAACTCAATTCTAACCCAACAAATGTAAAGATTTCACCCAAATTCAAATTTGGTACCATATAGTACACCTTAGTACGAATTTTCAAAATTCGCTACATACGATATACCTACATCCCAACAGTGATCCTGACCGCAAATGTCATTTTTCCAGCTCTATCGGTTCATCCAAATCGGTTCATCCAAATAGTACGATTTAGATATTTTCGTACGCATAAGTAAAAAATTTCCAAAATTACGTACATATCCCAATCGTACACTCCGACCGTAATGTTAATTTCAATTTTCAGGATTCCAACTCGATTTGTACCTCCAAATTAAATTTGTTCCAAATATAGTACCATATATTACTTTTCGTATACATGAGTACACGCTTCTAAAGCCAGCTCCTTATATCGACCCTATTTCTCAACCTTAATTCGAATTCCAAATTTCAGTTTTTACCTTAATCCATTCACATGCTACAAATTTAGTACATTTAAAATTTCTAGTCGCATAGTATTTTTACTTTTTGCTCAAAATAAATTCAATTTTTAACGCAACGTTCATCGTTCCTTCCCAGGTTGTCAATGGATGTTTGGCCATAAATCCCGGACGTTTGGCAGATAACAATGGTGGTACATTTGCCCGATTCATTATCAATCCCCCAGCCCCCAAGGAAGAAGCCAATCTCTTTAATTATGTTGGATGTCAAGTGCGTAAAGTTTAATGTGGACCACAGAAGAAAACGGCAACGACAAATGGACTTAGTACTACAAACTATATTGATTGATTAAACGTTTTAAAAAAATTGTTAAAAAATTTAATAAAATAAAAAACTCAAACTTGCATAAACAAATTAGACTTATTATTATTGTTGTTTTTTTGAAATGATCTTACCATCCTCCTCTACCATAAATGTACGACACATATAGGGTCCCATTAGTTAATAATATCCGAATCTTCTTTGGTACGATTACCAGACCAATACCGAATGGCATTGGGTGCAAAACCCGAAATTTCATTGCGTGGTTGTAAATCATAAATCGGCAAAATGGCTTTGTTGTATACTTTTGGAACTTTTGTATCAATGATGTGGCAGAACAAACCTTCATAATTTCTTCAAATTTTTTCTTCGCTTAGATTGGGAATAATGTTTAAAGATGGAACTTATCGGTCCACTCTCACATCAATTATGTGTAAAGACATCGACTTTTCGTGTGATCTATAATTTTTGTGGGGTATAGCACAGTCTGCCCATGTCGACTATACTGCATTTTTTACATTTTACAAAAAAAAATTAGTCGATATTTTAAATATCTTTCAACTTTCCGATAATGCTAATTTTCTCTTACATAACATAATTTTATAAGTGTATTTTCAATATGGAATAAAACTTTAGAATTTCCTCGAACCATTGGTGCAAAATTTATTAAAATCGGTTAAGTAGTCGCTGAGTTATTTGCATTTGAATTCAATGATGTTACAAAATAGCCTTACTGTTTGGTGCTGGGCGCCTATTACCCAAAAATGAAAAATCACACAAAAATGCATTTTAAAAAAACGGCAATTTTTCGTTCACAATGGCTGCTGGTTTGTAACGAAAAGTGTAGCATACTTTTAGGTCAAATGCTGCCTGTATGTATGTAATGTAACATAACATTACATACATACACCGTAGCTATTATTTCCATTTTTATAAGTACGATTTTTGTGTGATTTTTCATTTTCAGGTAATAGGCGACCAGCACTGAACAGTAAGGCTTTTTTGGAACATCATTGAATTCAAATGCAAATAACTCAGCGAAAACTTAACCGATTTTTATAAAATTGAAAAAAATGGTTAGGGCAAATTCCTAAGTTTTATTTTATTTTGGCAAAACATAATAGACACTATAATTGTTCGATTTACATGGAATTTTGTATTGCGTGTTGAATTGAGTCTAGAATGACGTATCATATTCTTCATTGTCCAGCTTTTTGCACCCTCATCCTTATGGCTAATGAGGTGCCTCATCGAAATATTGGTTTTAAACCCAAAATTTCTTTGGACCGAATCCGTTTCAGACAATTTGGACTCGATGTACAAATGTCTGTCTAAGTGGGGCTGTCTGGCTGGTGCGTACGACTATTCTCGAAGGGAATGCTCGATTTCATCCAAGCTTTACACTACAAACCATATTGATTAAACGTTTTTAAAAGGATTTGAATAAAATAAAACCAGGCTCAAACTTGCATAAACATTTACATTTATTATTGTTGTTTTTTAAACAAATTAACAAACATTATAAAAGTCTTAAAATTTCCAAAAAAATGCTATTGACGGTATTGACGTATGTGTATTTACTGTACTTTTAAACACGGTTGTTTTAAACAACTCTTCTTTTATTTCAGTTGCCAAAGGCACATGGGAAGTATTTTTTGTCATTTTCAACAATTTCCTCCAGAATGTCATCAACATCCGTAGTGGGATAACGTTCCACCCATGACTTAATATAGCCTTCGTGGGTGGCATCATAGGTTTTCAATTGCACAGCATTATTTTCCTCCTTGGTGTTGGCTTGTACCAAAATAACTCGCGGCTTTTTGTGGGCCAAGCAGATGTCACGCCATTTAGCCCATGGATGAGAACCACCTTCGGTAACTTCGGAATAATGTTCATACATTTTGGTGGCACTTTCAATATCGGCCGTACTCTTATAGACTTGTAATTTCTTCAGGAATTCCTCAATGGCTTTCTTGCCGACCGTAGCAATTTTGGTACGATCCACAGTCAAAAGCAAGTTTTTACCCTCTTCGGTTTCTTCAACTTTAACCAAACCTTCACCGGCCTCCAATAATACTTTCATAATAACAAAACGAGCACGTGAATGAGCCTGCATCCATTGTTTCGATTTGGGATTATACATTTCCAAGGCCACACCCATACCATTCCAAATCAATGAGAGCCAATTGATGTAAATTATTTTCTCTTGCTCGACGGGATCTTTGAAACCGAAAATTTCCAAAATATCAGGTTTCAGTGAGAGATAAAGGCCAACAGCTTCCGCACGACATTCTTCGTAAGAGGAGCCAATCATACCGAATTTGGTATCATAAGTTTCACCAGGCAAATACCAAGTAGTAATGGGTTCGCCGGTAATTAAATTCTTTGTTGAATCCTTGTCGAAATTAAATTTGCCATTTTCATCGATACGGAAAAGTTTTCCACTGCCATGACCCAAAAGTTCATGGAGGCCGACTTGTACCTCAAACGATTTCACCTTATATTCCTTCATTAGCTCTTGATCGGCTTCGGTGAGGAAAGGTATGGGGTCTTTTTTGTTGATGTTGGCCAAAACATTGCCGAGGGAAACATTTTTGAAGCCTTCATCTTGGCGGATTTCGTCATCTGGAAGACAAAGTCATCCGTTATTAAAAATATATATTACAATAGTATTATAATCAACTCACAATTGGGAATGTTAATACCAGCCGGTACCCCGCTGCCAGCAAAAGTCAACACATCTAAAGATGTAAAATCTGGTTTCAAATATGAATCCTTTTCATATTCCTTTGTCCAGGGTAAATATTCCAACAATTTTTCAGCCTTGGCCACCAATTCGGCAAACTTGGCCGAACTTTCCTTGTTAACCATGGCCACGAAACCTTCAAATTCAGCCCGACCACCAGCAGGATCACGATAGGTTTCAATGAAACCAATATAGGTTTCAATTACTGGTCCCTTGTCCTTAATCCAATATCTAGAACCATCTTTATGATCTGCCAATGAACCTTCTTGGAAGGATTTAATGTAATGTTCAATCATATTCACTTGATTTTCATTGGCAGCATATTTTTTGGCCTCCTCCAAATTGGCATTTACACGTGCCAACAACTTGTTATAGTCACCTCTTGTTACACGGAAATAATTACCCTTGTATTCTTCCAATGGCAATGTTATGCCATCTTTATCATTGGTTGCCACTGAACCCAACTTTACATCGTAAATGGTTTTACCATCCTCCTCGACTTTAAATGTACGACACATATAGGGTTCCAAACGTTTCGATGTCAACCATTCGTTAACCGTGTCTGAATCTTCTTTAGTACAATTATCAGACCAATAGGTGGTAATGCCATTGGGTGCAAAACCCAAAATTTCATTGCGTGGTTGCAAGGCATAAATCAGCGAAATGACTTTGTTGAATACTTTTGGAACTTTTGTATCATTGGCGTAGGCAGCAGAAAGCTTTACAATTGCTTCGAATTTTTCTTCGCTTAGATTGGGAATAATTTTACTATCACCCATGCCCTTGTAATTGCCGGCGTTGGCAAAAACGCCGCAAGAATATACCAAGAAAGCCTAGAAGGAGTAAAAAGAAAAAAAATTGAATTTAAATTCGTAGGATTCAGTTTAAATATATTTTTCAAAATTATTGTTCATTTTTTAAAAAAGGAATATGATTTTAGATGAATGAAGAGAATAGGAGTAGGAGATTGAAAAAGAAATACCATGGTATTTCTATGATTTCTATAACTCACCGTAAATTCATCCTCAGTGATGCCATTCTCCAATGCCTTCTTTTTCAAATCCTCCAATGGTTCAGCGACAAAGATGCGATGCAGCAATGAAAAGATTAGAGGACCTTCTGGACTAGATTGGATAAGAGCAACAAGACCACCATCCCATGAGGCCTTGCTAAAATAATGGGCATACAACTTCTCCTTATCGGTTAAATTTTCAAAAGCACTTTTGCATTCCAAATCAGCAATTGGCTGGGTATTTGGCAAAACAAAATGGGAAGCATTTGATGAGGTCATACTTCTTGTTTGTAATAAGCTAAAAATAAAAATACAATGCAATAAAAATTATTAATCAAAATTAGCAAATTCATATTCAGTTTATGAAATTAAATACCTTAAATTATTTGAATATAATTTCAATTTATTATGTGTTGTCCAAATCTGTTGCTGTTTCGTTGTCGCTGTTGTTGTTGTCTTGGTCCTAATATAGGCCATATTATTTGTATGGATATGCATATTTATACATTTTTGTAATATACGAAGAGATTTGGAGAAATTTCGTGGGTTTAGTTTTAGCATTTTGTGAAGATTATTTTTTATATGAACTATATATAATAAATTATAATGAAGAGCTCTGATAGACTTATAAATATTATCTGCAAAAAAATTGCTAGTATTAATTGAATGAAATCACTTTCAGTTGCCGTCATGTACTTACTTTGTACTATAAATGAAGTTTTGTTTTTTAGAATATAATAGTTTGCCTAAGATCGAATGTAACTGAAAGAAGGAAAGATATAGTTGTTAAATTTTGATAGAGAGTATGGGCCAAAATTGCCTAATTTAAGAAATAAAGTCATGAGTTAAGCATTCGTTGTGGAAATGGAGGTGGTGTTCGAACCAGTTAGTGGTGAGGTGGTGAATATTTAATAAGTCTTTTGAATGTCCATATTATTCATTATTCTTTGTTAATTGTTAATAGCGATGATTTTGATGACATTGCAGATTTTCAAGTATTTTTTTTTTTTCTTATCTAGATACTACTTTTGAATACATATACATGACTATTCTGTGTACACATTTCCCCAAATTTGTTATTACTTTTAACCGCATTCGATTATGAAGCTTGCTAAATAAACTGCTAACTGGGTCGTGGATAGAAAGATGACCAAGGTCGCAACGTTTTCAATCTTCAAATCGTATCTAATTGGCCTTTAACTGTAATGACAATGAGATTATAAATAATGCTTATATATTGTAAAGAACAAAGAATCTACTTCCAATTCTTCCAAAAATAATCATATTTATTAAATTGCTACCATGAAGTTTATTTCCAGAAGGATACATGAAGTGGAATGTACTGACGGGTACGGGTGGGTTTTATTTTCCGAAAAATAGAAGCAAATTCTTTATCATATTTAAATCCTTTAATATTCCATTAGCAATTTAAAGGAGTTCAAGGAACCTCGAAAAATCATATATGTTTGGATGACTTGTCTTTTTCGTTCATCAACAAAGAAAAATAATGAAAAGAAAAAAATCATCATTTACACAAAAAAGGTTATGTCAACAACAAAACTTTTGGAAACTGCCACGAAACGCAACAAACTTAGATTTATCTTGTCTGAGTTCATCACAGGTATTTAATAATATTCCAAATTTTTGAAGTTATATCTTACTACATACCTTTATAGAGTTTCTAAAATTGATTTTTGTACTTATATATTTGTGCAAAAATGGAAATCCACAATGCAACCGAAATTTGACAAACACTACCGGTAAATAAAAAAATTGCAATGACAATCATAGGGATATCTAGGTCGATTATCAAAAAATCGATTAATCGAATTGGATTCTGCGAATTTAAGGCGGTGTACACACTTTAAATTTTTAATGACAGTTTGATGTGCATTGGACATCGAAATTAAATATGTATTTTAACTTTTTGTTCGAGTTGACGTCAAATAAGAAACACGTAACGATATCATATCATAAAGGAATTTTTGTTATAATTAGAAAAGTAGCAGATTATTGAAGTACACAAAAGAGGCAAAATTAATGCTGAATTAACGGCTCATTTTTTCGTTCTTTTACCTCTATTACATATCATATTTGGTCTGTTCCCGTACTGCAAGAATCTACTCGATTTTACTATTTTCTTTGATATCATAAAGGAAAAAAATGTTATCGAAGTAAAAAATAGTAGATTCTTGCAGTACGGGAACATACCAATAAATTGTTATTCTTGTTTGTGCCATGATTAATATGGTGCAAATAAAAGATAAAAAAGAAGCATTAAAATAATTCGATCCCGACGAGTGGATTCAGATCCGAGAGATTTAGAAAAAAAACCTTTTTAAAAAAATCGATTGTTACTTCTAGTCACTTTACGCATGCCATTCCGCCTGTGTTCACATATGGCCTGTTCCCGTACTGCAAGAATCTACGACTTTCTACTATTTTTTTTCGATATCATAAAGGAAAAAAGTGTTATCGTAGTAAAAAAATAGTAGATTCTTGCAGTACGGGAACAGACCAATATTTTTATAAACAAAGTACAGGCCGATGAATATGTATATTAGCATTACATCTAACCATATCAGTAACATGTAGCAATGATGATGACCTCTACGGAATGCATGCTGGTTATAAAATAAATCATGCTCAATTTGTAACAAAATCTGTTCTTTCTTCAAATGTTTACACACCTTCGACTTTTCTTCCGATATCAAGTAAATGGCTTATTACTTCTGTAAATTTTACCAATATTTGGCATGGAAGCAATTTTGATACGTAAACTCATTTTCGGTTTCAAAAAATTTAATTTTGTATTTTGATTTAATTCGAATCTACACTAATTCAATAATATCCCTATGAAATTGCAAGTGAAAATCTCAACAACTCTAGAAGATATAGCCGATTTACTGTGCTAGCATCAAATGACGGCAAGAGGGCTTCCCAAACTTTATACGCGATAAAGGCCATCAAAAATAAGGAATTTTTTAATCCCATAAAACAACAACAATAACAAACCAATTTTGTAAATTATTTTTCTTCCCCTTTAAACCTTCAAATATATATATATAAGTTAGCACATCCCTGCCAAACTAACAGGCAACAATGTTGCCTTTGTGAGCTTTGCTTGGTTGACTGTTGTGTGCTTGGCATGGAGTCGTGTTACGTCTGGTGGCGTGATCATGGGAAGTGTAGTGTCAGCGTATTGTCAGCAATTTTGATTTGTTTAGTTTAAGTAGAATAAGTTTTTGATTTGAATAAAGAAGTTAGTTCATTCTAACTCACCAAAAGGCACACAAGTCTTTTTATTAACTGGCGCCCAACCGGGTTTATTTAAACGATTTACTTTGAAAAAAGTAATCTCTGACCCAACCCAAGTCGTCCAACTCGCACAAAAGGAATAAGCTCAGCACAAAAACAAGAACAAAAACTACTCAAGTCGTCCAACTCGCACAAAAGGAATAAGGTCTACACAAAAACCAGAACGAAAACTACCCAACGGAGGATCTATTTTGTATGAAGTCGTCCAACTAACGCAAAAGGGATAAGCTCTACACTCTAGAAAAGACGCCCTAAGAAGCTCTAAGGATCCACTAACATATTATAATATAAAACAAAGTCATGTAAGTGTATTACTCATTGAATTTAAAAAAATTTTTGTCGAAAAAATTGTGTGTCCAAAAACAGGTGAAAATATCAAGAGATTTTTTTTTTTACTTCGTATAGTGCGTATTTAAAATATTTCAATTTCTGTGAAGTGATTAAGATTGTGTTATACCAACTTTTCTATAAAAAAAGATATTATGAACGCGGACGAAATTTCAAAATTGATAGAATCTGCTGTACGTGCAGCGATTCAGACACATAAATCAGAAGTCGACAAAAAAGTCGACGATCTATCAAGAAAATTGTCGTCCATTTCCATAGGACAAACAGATGTAAAACCGTATGAGGAAGTAAAAATTTTTTCAACAATAACATGCGATGAGTCGCTAGACGTTATTAAATCTTTGCCCGAATTTGACGGGAAAATAGAAAATTATGTGTCGTGGAGACAAGCGGCACATAACGCGTATAAAGTTTTTGAAAGATATGATGGTAGCTCAAGGCACTACCAAGCAGTTTGTATCATTAGAAATAAAATCAGAGGACCGGCAGATGCAGTATTAGCATCATTCAATACGGTGTTAAATTTTAAAGCTATAATAAATAGGTTGGACTTTACGTACTCAGATAAACAACCAATTCACCTGATCGAACAGGAACTAAGTACCCTCAGACAAGGCGGACAGTCGGTGATACAATTTTATGATGAAGTGGAGAGAAAGCTCTCATTATTAACAAATAAAACTATTATGAGCTATGACAGGAATTTAGCTTTAGCCATCAATAACAAATACCGACAAGACGCACTCAGAGTATTTGTTTCCGGATTAAGGAAACCTCTCTGTGATGTACTCTTCGCGGCCCGCGCCGCTGATCTTCCCTCAGCTCTAGCCTTAGCGCAAGAAGTGGAGGCGAATCATGAAAGATACGTTTTTGCTACATCATTTGCAAATAGGAATGATGAAAAAAAGAGTAGGTCTGAAACCTCAAAAAAACTTCCATTAAGAAAACCGTCTGATAATAGTTATAACAATAACCAACAAAATTATCATAAACACAAAAACCCACATTACGAAAAGGGTGCTGATGCTAATTTACAGCCTAGAGATCAAACCGAAGAAATGGACTTGGATCCAACGTCTTCCAAATTCAGATCACCGACTAATTATGGTAACGGTAGAAATTCTCACAGACAACCTTTTAAGCGTCAAGCAGGGTCTGACCGGAGTACGGGCCCAAAATTCCAAAAAGTTAATCAAATAATTCCGGAAGAGCAGGCGGTACAATATGGTGACATAGCTCACTCTGAATTTGAAGACATAAATGACGAATTAAAGGAAAATTGTGATTATGTTAATTTTTTAGAGGAAGGTCCCTACTACCGTTTGTAAGGCGGACAGTAGCGGGGAAACCAATACGCCTTTTAATTGACACAGGGGCTTCGAAAAATTATATAAAACCTCTCCATGAACTGAAACATATAATTCCTGTAAGTACTCCTTTCTCGGTTCACTCTGTCAATGGACAAACACCTATTAAACAAAAATGTTTTGTAAATTTATTCGGCATGAACTCTACATTTTTCATTTTGCCAACTTTAACAACATTTGACGCTATTGTGGGCTTAGACCTATTAAAACAAATCAATGCAAACATTGACCTAAATAAAGGAGTCATCCGACATAATTCTGGCTCTGAACTTATTGAATTTTTTGAATGTAAAGATGTTAATTTTATAGAAATTGATAAGATTGATGTGCCTTTCGCAGTTAAGGCGGATTTTCAGAAAATGTTAAAAAAACGAATGAAGGTTTTTGCTGATCCTAAAGAAGCACTACCTTACAACACAAATATCGTTGCTACTATTAACATGGAGAACGAAGAACCAATTTACTCTAAACTATATCCATACCCAATGGGGGTATCTGAATTTGTAAACTCAGAAATAAAAAAGTTGTTAGCAGATGGTATAATTCGACCTTCGAGGTCACCTTTTAATAGCCCAGTATGGGTAGTCGACAAAAAGGGTGTCGACAATCTAGGTAACCGAAAGAAACGTCTTGTTATAGATTATCGGAAGCTTAATGCCAAAACAATTAATGATAAATATCCTGTTCCGAACGTAACAATGATATTATCAAATTTAGGTAAAGCAAAGTACTTTACCACTTTAGATCTGAAATCCGGGTTTCACCAAATTGTTCTCGCAGAAAGAGATAGGGAAAAAACAGCATTCTCTGTAAACAACGGGAAGTATGAATTTTGCCGTCTCCCATTCGGATTAAAGAACGCTCCGAGTATGTTTCAAAGAGCTATAGACGACATACTCAGAGAGGAAATTGGTAAAACGTGCTATGTTTACGTCGATGACGTTATTGTTTTTTCAGAAACCAAAGAGAATCATGTAAAACATATCGACTGTGTTCTTAGGAAACTGCTCGATGCAAACATGAGAGTCTCTATTGAAAAGTCAATTTTTTTTAAATCCGAAGTTGAATACCTTGGCTTTGTCGTATCAAAAGAAGGTATAAAAACGGCACCATCAAAGATAAGTGCCATACAAAATTTCCCAGAACCAACGACGTTGTTCGCTTTGAGATCATTTCTTGGGCTAGCGAACTATTACCGATGTTTTATAAGGGACTTTGCCAAAATTGCAAAACCTTTAACCGATAATTTAAAAGGAGAAAACGGAAAAATTCCTGCAACCAAATCCAAAAAGGTTATCATCAATCTTAATGCCTCCCAACTGGATGCATTTTACAAATTAAAAAATATTCTATGTTCAGAAGACGTCTTGTTGATGTACCCTGACTATAAAAAAGCATTCGACCTTACTACTGATGCATCAGGGCATGGTCTAGGTGCTGTTCTATCCCAAGAGGGAAGACCAATCACTATGATTTCTAGAGCGTTATCGGATAAGGAGTTGAATCTCGCCACAAACGAAAGGGAACTTCTAGGAATAGTCTGGGCTCTAAAAACTTTAAGGCATTACCTTTATGGTGTGAAGACTCTTAACATCTTCACTGACCATCAACCGTTAACATATTCAGTTTCGGACCGTAATCCTAATGCACAAATTAAGCGCTGGAAAGCTTTTATAGATGAACATAATGCAAACTTATATTATAAACCAGGAAAAGAAAATCAGGTTGCAGATGCGCTATCAAGGCAAGTCGTCTATGCATTAGAGAACGAAAATTCGTCAGACATGGCAACAGTTCATAGTGAGGAGTCATACACCTACACTATGGAAAGCTCAGACAAACCGGTCAATTGTTTCCGCAACCAAATCATTCTGGAAGAGGCAGAATTTCCCGCCACTCGAAATTTTATACTTTTCGGAAACAAAACGAGACATATCATAGAATTCGGGGATAAAAACGAAATACTGGCTAAACTTGTTGATGCAGTCAATACTGAAGTAGTAAATGCCATTCATTGCGACCTACCTGTGTTGGCTCACATTCAACATGATTTGATTAAAATGTTTCCTTCAACAAAGTTCAGATTTTGTAGTAAATTTGTCGCTGACATCTTCAATCAATGCGATCAGAGAGAAATTGTTGTAAGTGAACACAATAGAGCTCATCGGGCAGCTCAAGAGAACGTTAAACAAATCCTTTCGGAATACTATTTCCCCAAAATGGTAAAAATAGCGAATGAGGTTGTTGCAAACTGCAAAACCTGTTCAAAAGCTAAATACAATCGACACCCAGAGAAACATGTTATAGGAGAGACAATAGTTCCTTCATATGCCGGTGAAATTCTACATATTGACATTTATTCAACTGATAAAAAACATTTCTTAACTTGCGTGGATAAATTCTCAAAATTCGCAGTGGTACAGCCAATAGCCACCAGAACAATTCTGGACATAAGAGAACCGATTCTCCAATTAATGAATATTTTTCCAAACACCAAAATTGTCTATTGTGACAATGAGAGGTCTTTCAACTCCGAGACTATCAGATCAATTCTGAAAAACAGGTTTAATGTCGAAATTGTCAATTCACCTCCTCTACACAGCACATCAAACGGGCAGGTAGAGAGATTTCACAGCACTCTTGCCGAAATCGCAAGATGCCTAAAAATAGAAAGGAAGATCGATGACACTGTCGAACTCATCTTACAATCGACCATAGAATATAACCGGACAATTCATTCTGTCACGAATGAGAGACCTATTGATACGATACATTCTACACCTTCTGAAGTAAGAGAAAAGATTAAAGAGCGAATCTGTAACGCGCAAAACAGGCAGTTACAATACTTCAACAAAAGTCGTTATGACAAAGTTTATAACGTGGGAGACAAAGTCTTTGTTAAGAATAATCGTAGACTTGGAAATAAAATGACCCCACTTTATGAAGAAGCTACTGTTGAAGCAGACATGGGGACAACTGTCCTAATAAAGGGGAGGGTGGTCCATAAGGACAACCTAAGATAATCCTTTCAATAAGATGTCTAAATGTTTCTTCGTCTACCTTTTATTTTTCTTTACGCAGGCTAACACTACAATTGCTTCTTATGATAAACCTCACATTTGCAAAGATTATTGATTATTCGCATTCCGATTATATTCCAATTTTGGACGGGAACGCGATTATATGGAACAAATATGGGTACTTAAGACATACGACAAACCTTACAACGTATTCCGAGATATTAGACGATACAAAAAACGCAATACAGATCTTCCCTCAGACGCATGTTAAAAAGATATTGGAGGCCGATGTATTGCATATTGATACTCTTTTAACAACACTCACCGTACATCATCGGCATGCGAGAAGCATCAATCTTATAGGCACAGCACTGAAGGTTATTGCCGGTACACCAGATGCCGATGACTGGGAGGATGTCAAATTTGTCGAGAAACAACTCGTAGATTCCAACAACAGACAAATAGAAATAAATACGAAAATACAGATCCAAATAGAAAAGTTGACCAATGCAGTAAACACAATCTTAAATACCGAACGAAAGGAACAAATTGATACTGTTAAACTTTTTGAAATTTTAATGGCTAGAAACAGAATGCTGCTTATGGAATTACAAAATATAATTTTATCTGTAACTTTGGCTAAAATCAATATTATAAATCCCACAGTTTTGGACCAGGATGATTTAAAATTTTTTATAAAAAATCAGATCAATGAGCAATACACAGATTTTACCATATCAGAACTAATGTATTTGTCTAAAGTAAAAGTAATATCAAATGAATTTTGTTTGCATTTTATCATTAGATATCCCATTCCAATACGAACATGTCAGAAAATTTCTTTATTCCCAGTTCCCCACTTCAATAAAATTATTCAATTCGCTGACACCAACACTGTGGTAGACTGTGAAGGAAAGACTTATTCAGCAACAGATTGCAAGCACGCAATATCTTCAACCTATTGTCAACTGATGCCAGAGTCAACCTGCGCTCAACAACTCATATCGGGTAAATCAGCACACTGTAATACGCAAAGCAATAATCTTGAAAAAGTGGCAGAAATCGATGATGGAATTGTCATTGTGAATGACGCTATTGCAGAAGTGAAAGAAGCAACCGAAAATGTCAGAAACATAAACGGCACATTCCTAATAACTTTTGAAAAAAATGTGACTGTCAATGGTACGCTGTTCGTAAATAGAAACAACATTGATATGCGGAAACCAGGAACACCATCATTTCCCTCAATTATTATAAACAACCACAGCGAAATTTTAAGTTTATCATCTGTCCATGAGATGAACTTGCAAAACTTACAATATATTGGCGAACTTGAAAGAGATGCAAAAGTGCGGCCAATATTAGTTGGTTGTGTTGTTTTTATGAGTATCGGATTACTCTATTCCATATTGTGCCTCATTAAGCGTAGGGTGAAGAAGAGAGAACAGCGAGATTTTAAATCTGCCGTAGCAATGGCTATAAAGAAGACCGAGGACGGCCTTCACTTAAGTGAGGGGGTAGTTAGCACATCCCTGCCAAACTAACAGGCAACAATGTTGCCTTTGTGAGCTTTGCTTGGTTGACTGTTGTGTGCTTAGCATGGAGTCGTGTTACGTCTGGTGGCGTGATCATGGGAAGTGTAGTGTCAGCGTATTGTCAGCAATTTTGATTTGTTTAGTTTAAGTAGAATAAGTTTTTGATTTGAATAAAGAAGTTAGTTCATTCTAACTCACCAAAAGGCACACAAGTCTTTTTATTAACTTATATATATATAGCAATACTATCAATTAGAATTCAGTTTAATAGAAATTTTCAAGCAATAAAAGAAATTTGTGACCTCCTTACATATTTGGTGTGTTTGTTGTGTGTTGCAGCATTTTCGACTTGGTGGCTTGTGCTGATGTGAAGATCATCAGTAGTAATTCAAAAACAAAAAGTACAGTGTTTGTAGTTTGACAATATAAACTATTGAAGGACGAATTTGGAGAAATTTCCAATTAAATAAAAAATTAATTTCATTAGACCTACTGCAAAGAGAGCATGGATAATACATCGCGTCGATCAAGTTTGATGGATGCCAGCTGTACAACAGCAACATCTGTCTATTTATCATTTGATGCGGAGAGCACAATTGCCGGACAGACATATTATCGGACACTGGAAGGTGATATATCGAGTATATCGAATATTTCCAAAATTGAAGATGTTTGTGACAAGACGGAAGAACAAAAACATGGTAACAGCACTTTGGAAAATCAGAATTCCTCGGTGGAAGCCAGTCCCCTCAAGACGGTAAAGAAAATGGACGTTGCGATGACAACAAATTCTCCTTTGAGAGTTTTGCCCAAAAATATTGTGCGCGAATATAAGGCGTTGTGTTCGACACCATCCAAGGAACAGTTATTGAAAACTGTCGATGTTACCCGTGGCTCGGATGTCAATAGATATGATGATTTGGGTGTTGCATTTTTAGGGGTTGATGATGGAATGCCGGCATTTTTTCCACCGCCGCCACCATCATCAGCGACTACAACTCAACGTCAACAACAACGTTGCGAAGAGAATAAGGAAAATATATCGGATGGATCTACCCTATCAGTTTCATCTTCTGTAGAAATAGCCACATCCATTATTGAGAGAAAATGTTTGTCGACGGCAGGAGTTATGACCATGGAGCAAACTTCTATTGTAGAAGAAAAATGTTCTCAAAATGTTGTGAAAGAATCTGTACATGAAAGCCAGGAAATACAAGTGCTGGAAATTAAAAATCAATTGGTTGGCGGCGATCAAAATATAAGAATTGAAAACATGACCAACAATGAGGATGAAAAGGCCATATCTGTAATTGATTGTCAAATTGGTAAGTTATTTGTTTATACTCTAAACAGCTATATTTTGTAACATAACTATTTTGTTGCGTAATCGATCTAGCTATGTATTTTGGTGGCCATTTTAGTTTGTAATCAAAAAGTTTAATACGATACGATTTTCACCGAAGATCATGTTATAATGATAAAAGTTATTGCGTAATTGTGGTATATAGAGTGAATTGATCCAATTATGCGATTTTACGAAGGGATTGGGCTCTACGAAAATCGAGCACAAATTGTGTTTCTTGATACACAGGCATGTGAACGGTCTCACCAGTCAACAAGGCTTCGTTCCAAAGTCTAATCTAGAAATGTCTTTTGGCTCCTGACATATGAAGTCTGCGAAACCATAGCCCATGTATCGAAGTAGATCAATTTTACTTCACAAATCTGTACTTTATTTTCACATCATATGAATTTTATTTTCACATCATATGAACTTTTCATAAAGATGACTCTTTGTGAAGAGGAATGGTACAAAGTTTTTATAAAGACTAGCTTACTTTAGGTCAATACGAACTTTAACTTTATATGAAATATTTTCCCTTTATGGGAAATAAAAAAACGTTGCTATGAAATATTTACATATTTGACACTTTGGGGGAAAGGTACCGAAAGTGTTGGACCGATGGTCCACCTCTTTAGAATCGAGGTGTTAAAAATAGAATTAGGGTGTTAAAAATAAAAACATCCCTGTAGAAAGGTTTCAGTATACGTCAATTTTTTTTAAACAGTCCTGCTTTTGTGTTTTCACGTTAATATTCAACTGAGTAGGTCTTCATTTCATTTTCCCGATTCTTTGAGAGTTAAAAACAATTTATGAATAAATATTTAAATACTAGCATATGCCCGTAAAATCGTTATAAAATGTGGGAATTTTTTAAAAAACAATGCCGAATATATTTAAAATTTTAGTACAATTTAGTACCTACAGAGCCCATATCAAGACCCCAACAGTAGGAATTTCAGAAACATGACTAATAGCTCAATTCTACCGCCAATGGGGATCCCAACTCCAAAAGTCAAAGCTAAAATTTGGCATCATTTAGTACACATTAGTACGAATTTCGAAAATTTCCCACATAACCCAATCCTACACAATCGGTTCATCCAAAGCCAAATTGTACCAATTATAGGACGATTTAGTACTATTCGTAT